TGTGAGGAGCTCAGATACTTAGGTTGGATATTAGGAAAAACTTTTTCACTAGGAGGGTGGTGAAGCACTGGAATGGGTTACCTAGGGAGGTGGTAGAATCTCCTTCCTTAGAGGTTTTTAAGGTCAGGCTTGACAAAACCCTGGATGGGATGATTTAGTTGGGAATTGGTCCTGCTTTGAGCTGGGGGGTTGGACTAGATGATCTCCTGAGGTCCCTTCCAACCCTGATATTCTATGATTCTATGATTCAGCACTGAGTACATAAGGTGGTTGTTGTTTGCATGAAAGAGTCATGAAACTTTTGATATTAATGTCCAACTGTTGAATTTAATTCCAGTTACTCTGCAGTGGACTTAAAGGTGATCACCCTTAACTGGAGGAATTATCTAAATCCCTACAAGTTAGAGGTCAGTGATTTGGAGGGAGGGGGTTAACACCAAGGCATAATACAGGCTAGGCAGCATCCCTAGGGAATCTAATAGTGACTGATAGAATTGTATTACATCCTACAGAATCTATTAGCAAATTGTAGAATTTTCACAAGTATTTTCCCACTTCTTGATGCAACCCACATGTAAATCTTAGAGATGACTCTCATTTTAAGTGTTTTGATTAAATGAAGGTGTTTGGCGGGAAAGTGCATAACTGTGAAAAGTCTTTATTCCACTTCTGTCTTCAGAGACTCATACCTTCCACATAAGAATAAATTGCCAAGACTCTTGTTTGTGAACACTTCCATGATTTTCTTCCCAAGATAAATGGTTAGGAGTAGTTTCCCTTCTCAGACATGAGTCATTGTAACATTCACCTTAAGAAATCTTGATATTGGTTTCAACAGAAGTCAGTACTTGTTTCTGCAAAATCATTTAGGGTCAGATTCTGATACACTGGTTCACAACAATTCCACAAGTTGCTCCATTGAGGTAAATAGAATTATTTGTTAAGCAGGGTACTAATTGACATGAATAAAAGGTATAATAATTTGGCTCTTAAAATAACAAATGATTAAATAAATAATGCACTCAAACCTGCATTTCCACTTAATGAAATATTGATTACAAAATTTCCAATTCACTATGTTTCCTTATTCTTGGGTATGATTGTCATTCCTCACAGTTCTGGATCAAGACATTCTAAAATGACCAGTTGAGTTCAGAATAGAGTGAGGATCAGCTAACTAAATTCTATGTAAGTCAATATGGAGTAAAGATAAAAGTTAATACATCAGCCTGACTGAAATGTATTAATATGCTTTTGTTTCAGCCACTCATTGGCACATAGGCTAATCAACAGACTAAGGCAGTGTTTCCCAGTAAACTAATCTGGGAAGACATTGGGCAAAGAAGAGGAAAAGCAATATGTGGAAAGTATTTGCCTTGTACTCAACTGCAAATATGCTCCTACAGCTATGAGTAGAATCATAGAATATTAGGGTTGGAAGAGACCTCAAGAGGTCATCTGGTCCAATCCCTTGCTCAAAGCAGGACCAACACCAACTAATTCATCCCAGCCAAGGCTTTATCAAGCCGGGCCTTAAAAACCGCTAAGGAAGGAGATTCCACCACCTCCCTAGGTAACCCATTCCAATGCTTCACCACCCTCCTAGTGAAATAGTGTTTCCTAATATCCAACCTAGACCTCCCCCATTGCAACTTTTGGCTCAGCTCAGCTGTAGCCCAGTAGACTCACCAGTGGTCAGAAATCTACCAATCAGAGCAACATGAAGTCAGCAAAAGAAGAGGAACCACTAGAGGAGGGCTAGAGGGAGAAAGTATAGGGTCTACTAGTTGGGAGCAGCAGACAACAAAGAAAACAGATACAACCTATGTAAAACAGCGAAAAAAGAAAACCACATAAAAAGAAAATCATGATAAAGATGAAAAAGAAACAAACAAATACAAAAGAGAAAAAATAGACAGAGCAATTTAAAGGTGATGGTAACTGTGCCAAGGCACGAGAGGAGGAGACATAACAAGAGTCACCAGTAAATTAATGGCTTGATCTTGCAGTTGTACCATATGCTAACCACTCAGTTGACCA